GAGCAACCTCATCTGTCATGTCTGCACAAAAACCTGAAATCGACCCGGTGTTGTCCCCTTCTCGAGACGATTGTGGTGCATTCCAGCCCGAGGACTTCCGTGAACCTTCTGGATCTACCGGATATATTCCATCCATTCGATGAGACGTGGGGATGGGATTACTCGAGGGTGTTCGCGGATGATGGTTCATACGGCGAAGCTTGTGGGCATGCCTATGAAGAGTACGGCATACGAGAGGAGAATGGGTGTCTGGTCCTCTGCCGTCCGGATCAACATGTTGCTTGGTTAGGGAGCCTTGGAGATGTGGAAGCATTGGACCAGTACTTTGGTCAATTCGTCGGGAGGAAGTGATCTGATCGGGTTCTGTTTCTATTCAGTACTATTTCGTCGAGCGCGACCGGTGAAATAGGGTGGAATTGGGGGGGCATGTTGGTGATGGCATTCCGAGCGTTGCACGGATACTTTTCTGGTTGTAGCATCCATGTCGATACAGAGGCACGATAGAGAGGCTATAGAAAAGACTTAGCACCAGACCATTTGTGCGACACAATTTAGCAAAAATAAATGACAGAAATTATGTACTTTGCACATGCTATCCCCCAACATAGCGCACGCATGGTCAGTGGCCAGAGCTCAACGGCAGCACATCGCACAGACCGGGGATCACCCGTGGGCACCGGCTCTCTCGTCCCGTATTCCGGCAGAAGGGCCCTGCCAGTCAGAAGTCCCAGAGACCCTCTGGGTGGATGATAGGGAAGTTGTGGAACCAATGCTCAAATTGGCTTCCAGACCCAGGGGACGGATGATGCAGCTTGATTGGGAGGGAATATTGATGAGGTAATGGTGATGCTCAACGGTGATGTCATGAGAGTAACAGTCGTGGAGAAATGTTTTGATCGAGGCCCAAAACAATGTCCTCTAAGAATCAAACAAACAACACCACCGCTGAGAGGGAATGAGGTTTTGTACGCCGGTCAGGTCCACTTCTTTCTCAGAGTGAGGCTGCCCCACGGCTTATCTGTGCTATCTGGAGGCCCCTGGCCAGACCGGACGGACCTCTTCTCGACTGTCCAGCAACAACAAGGGTTGTCTCCATCTCTTACATTATAGGGCAATTGCACGGAAGGAGATCACATCGACACAGTATCTGATCGATCACTGACCCCGCCATTTATCCACTGTGCCACCGTACAACTACCGACTGAACCCAGACCGTCCACAATTTAACACCGCCATCACAATGACTACATCCAGCCTTCCAGACTTTTCTGGGGCAGTAACAAAGAGAAACCATATGTGTCAATCTCCCGTATCCCCTCCACTCCAGAAACAACAACGTTCCCCCAACATGATGCCGGATGACTTCACAGCCAATGCTTGTACCTTGTCCCTGCCCTACCCAAAGTAGCAACATACCATGTAGTCGGGACCACATGCAGTCAGGACCCTGGAGAATTCCCCGAAACTTGAATCAAGGCTAATTATACCATGTCCTTCAAAATTACGATCATGGTTACTGCATCAACATTGACATCAGTACGTAGTCATTGTAATATCTATAGTTAGACACAAGCATCATTATCCAGAGTCTGAAAGACCTACAAATAGCCTACCATAATCCTGGAACTTACTCTCCCGTCTTAATCAACAAACATCTATCCCAAAGCATACCATACCATATACACTAAACACACACAACCATCAAAATGGCCTCCAACCCCAACCCCGGCAACTTCGCCAACCGACCCCAGGAAGAAGTCGAGAACATCGCCCGCAAGGGTGGCCAGTCCAGCCACTCGGGCGGATTCGCCTCCATGGACGAGGACAAGCAGGTACATCAATACCCATTCCCTTCTTTTACTCCATAAACGAGAGCATAGTACTAATTATTATGGTGACAGCGCAACATCGCCTCCATGGGCGGCCAAGCCTCCAGTGGAAGCTTCCAGCCCGGCGAAGAACGGGCCCGGGAAGCCGGCCACAAGGGAGGAATGTCTTCCGGAGGGAGCTTCGAGCCTGGAGATCCTCGGGCTAGAGAGGCTGGTCGGAAGGGAGGATCGAGGACTGGGGGCGATATGCCGGAGGAGTAAGTCTACTCGTACTAAGTACCATGACATTATGATCGGCCTTGTTGGGGATGAGTTTTTATGTCATATGAATTCAATGTATTATTAGTCAAGTATGAGAATAAATTGTATCGATTGTGGCATTGATGAATTGGATTATTATTGTATTGCTATTCATAATAGAGTTTCGGAGGCTAGTACAAGCAGTACAGTAGTTGTAGAATGGAAAGTACTATTGGATGGCGAACATCTCCGAAGGTCCATTGAGTAAGTGGTGGCCCCGTCGCTAACACTATTGGCCACTCGACCCGTTGTTGACGATCATGACGACAATGGATATACCAAATTGATTCAGCCTTAACGCATTACTTGCAAGCATGATGTGATCGACTGTACAAGATAGTTGGATTGAAGTTTACTTTTGCGCCCCGTTAAACCCCGCTCGCCACATTAGAAACAGAATCATCGCTAGCACGCTAGCTTCCGCCATCATCATCAATCGTATCTATCATCTAGCTTGTACACAGTACTTTTCCATCGCCGTGAATAGGTATCTTTGAGAAAGTCCCGAGGAGAGAAAGGTAGAGAGGTAAAAAGGAGTAAGGGAAGAGACAAAAGACATTAGAAAGGGTTAAGAGATAGGGACATAGAAAGGGGGGAAAGGAACCAAAAATATCCATAACGCCTCATCATATAGACATTAATCAAATCACCGCAGGCCATCATGTACAGGCCATTGACAATCTCAGAATCAGACCTTCACTCCGTATCTTTTTGCCCCTGTGTTGCTGAACCGTCCCCAGCAGCCGGGAGCTGTACCAAATCCTCAAGATCCATTGTCATCTCCTGCTCCTGCTTTGGACCCTTTGTCAAAGGTAATGACTCTTTCTGCTCCTCGGGGCTCTGAGTTGCCGTACCAGCTTTATCAGAAAGCTGCTTCACCATCTTCGCCAAATGGTCTTTAATCCTCTCATCCCCGCAGTGGGAGTGCCGCAGCAGCTCATTCTTTAGGTTCAAGATTTCGCCCCGCAAGTGATCCACTTGACTTTCCAGGAGCGTGTTCTCCCGCGAGACCGTCTCGCAACGACTCTCGAGCTGCTTGGCATGCTCCTTCTTCTTCTTGCGGCATTTGTTGGCAGCCACGCGATTGCGCTCAAGGAACCGCTCCCGTTTGCGTCGTTCGCGCTCGTTCACTTTAAATCCCGGGGAGGGTGGTCGATTGGAGCTCCCCCGACGACTGTATACCGGGCTCTCATTACTGCTGCTGTAGCTGGAAATACTGAACCGGGATTGATTGCTGTCGGCGCTGCCACCGCTGCTGACGCTCGTTATGCTACCCCGCGAAGTGATTTCGTGCATAGGAGCTGGAGGCATTTGTGCCGGTACTAAAGGAAAGGTGGCCTGCATTGGGGAGCATTTTTGCTCGTAGTCATTGGTAGGATTGTGTACGGTCTGGCAGGGAGCAATGAAGCTGGCGTCCGAGCTAGCGGTGGAGTTGGTTCGGAGAGCGGGTCCAGTGGCCCAGGACACGGGCGGCTCGAAGGAATTGAGCAGCCATTGATTGTTATCTTCGAACAGAGGGAGAGAAAGACAGTCCTGAGAAATGGTGTTATCGAGATAGAAAGGAAGGGAGCCCGGCCAGGTCTCGTCGGTGGTGGGTGTTGGTCCGGAGAGGGGGCCGTAGAGGTTCAAGTCGGCGGACATTCTCACGTCGGCCATTGAAGCGTTTAGGGGAAGGAATTGGTGAGGTAAGCAGTGGTGAATTGGAATATTGATACACAATTAAGATAGTATGCAGATACAAAAAAAATAAGCCACTAAGGTGTTGCGCAGTAAATGGTGATCACGGCTGCTATATATACGAAGTTGATAATTTGGGTGGTTTGCAAGACACTAACGAGCCCTGATTGGAGGGAGCCAGACCGTCCGTTAAATCACAGCACTGAGCAGGTCCGATAGGGTTGATCAAAACGGTATTCTCTCGATCGACGACAAGGCGCCACACAAAGGGGAAATCACAGACGAACGCGCAAGTCGGGCTGTAGGGATAATAAATCCGGCAGGGATTTGAACGCACGCATTGGGGGGGAAAGGGTTAATGGGGGGGTGGGTGGACGGGGGACGGAAGATATCCGCTCCAAACCGGATTGCCTGGGGCCACAGAATATACAAAGTAGTAATCTGGTCGAGCTCAAACTCCGGGGCAACATGGTTGACGTAGGATCGATTGGTCCGGGAGGAAAACGCGCCTGTCAGAGGCGACACTGAGCCGATGGCAACCCGCTAGAACAATCCGGATTTATTTTCAGTGTGGTTCGGGTGGAGCCTGTACTTGCAGCATGACGTTTCGAGTCGATCCAATTGCTTGCACTTCATAGCCCGACTGCTAACTTAAATCCCGGGCCTTTCCAAGGGGCCCAAGCAGGTACTGGGCCTGCTCCCACTATCCCTCACGGTCGGTTCTTTCAAATAGCTGGGATATTGAAATTTTGGTGACATCTACGACCTCGGGACTTACTAAATCCGTGCAGCCAGTGCTGCTGGTCCCTCCAATGGCCACGTTACACAAAACAATGCATTCTGAAGCCACCCAGCAAGGTTTGACGACACGATTCATGTTTCTTTTCATAACGTTCGGAATTGCCCATTGCGTGCATTGGGCTCTGTAGACAAGAAATATTCAGATTACCTAATCTTGCTGAATCGTTAGCTATGGATACTTCTTCTGCTGCATGGTGGATACTTTATTCCCCCGATCTAGCCGGCTCTGGCATAGGCCCGCCGTGCATTACACGGTCGATCACTAAAGGCAATAATATCCCTGATGCTTCAATCGGACCTGTGGCTCTTCTAAATTCTACTTACTTTACGTTCAAAACTCGAGAGTCAGATGTGCTTCGCTCGGGCCGCGCCTGGCTTCCCTGGTACCCAGTGGTTTGGGTATGTGACTATCCATCCTTGAGGTAGAATTAAGCCTAGGATCCTCATGCTTCTCCGCGGTTGATAGAAAGAACCGTGCGTTATTGCCATGAGGCTTTTGCCTTGACCATATGTATCCTGGTGTAGTTACTCCAACCTCACAAGGTCCTTTTCGCCCTTGACCTTGCCACCCCCAAAAGTATCCGCCTAGCGGCCAACCATCCAGTCGTTCACAGTAATCGGGCCGTATTTGGGTTTTTCGCCTGGCCCGAGGCAGCTTTCCAGGCACTCGACCAGGAAATCTGCGTTGCCATCAAAGAAGAACGGAACGCTGTAGCGTGCAGTTCCCGATGTATTGATGACTCGGTGTAGGTTGGAGATATACCGATCGTTTGTCCAACGCATCATCATATTGCCCGTATTGACTACCACTGCGCCGGGCACAGGTACCACGTCCACCCACTCGTTCGACGTCCGGCTCCAAACCTGTAGACCCCCAACAGAGTCCTGCAGGAGGATGGTAATAGCACCAAAGTCGCTGTGAGCCCCGATGCCTGCAAGTAAAGTTAGCTCATCAGTGGTACCCCCAATATTGGTTGGAGCCGAATGCGGGAGGGTTGGCATGCACACCTCTTTCCAGCTCGGACGCATCAGGAGCCTGAGGGGGGTAGTGGAGCAAGCGAAGTGTAGCAATGGGCTTAGTACTGAACCTGCGTAGAGCATCTGAACCAAGGCCCACCATTTCTGCAATGACAGTCATAAGGTCGATTGTGAGACTGAGAACGGCTCCATAGTACCGATCCACCGTGTCTCGGAAGAGCTGCGGGTCTGTCACTTCAGCGGGATACTTGTTGGGTCCCAGGCCGAATTTGCCGGTTTGGACATCCGGATAATCTAGTGGGAGATGTCGACCGAGAAAAAAGCTCTCCTTTAGGTCACCTGCGAATCGTTTCTCGAAGTTCTGGGCTCGCAAGCGTTCGTATCCGCGGTTGAAGCTGTCATTGTCTAGGAGCTTAAACAGTGGGCACCGGTGTGGATGTTGCTTGTGAACTTACCCCTATCGTATTTCTCCTTGGTCTCCACCGGTAGACGGAAGAATTCCCTGGACTGCTCTAGGATAGCTGTTTGGAGTTCGGGTGGAATGGTGTGGTTGCGTAGTTGGAAGAATCCAAGGTCTTTGCAAGCGTGGTGGATTTCTTCCTTCAGGTGCTGTCGGTCTTCACTGCTGCCCTCGTGGAAGGCTTCGGGAATGGTTAGGGCATGTTTTCAGACATGCCTGTTCTCTCTACCTACGAGCGAAATCAATAACAGGGATGGCAGGGCTCATGATTCTGAGCGAGTGGAGCAACGAAGCTCATAGGTTAGAGTTCCATTTGACGTACCAACGGAGTTGCCGACGAAGAAAGCATGGCAACTGGAAGGATAAATTGGCTGCAGATAACATCTCATCGATGCGGGGTAGTCGCCGGTGATCCTCGATGTTGTGAAAGGCTTGGGTAGCCCTGCAGGAGGGCGCTTCCTTCTAGAATGATTTTGGTCGTGAAGCAGGCGCCACATGTAGAACTTATCGGCACGACTCTTCTGGTATACACCCAGAACACCTACAGTAATTAGAAGCCGCTGTACTGTGATCTTGTAGAATATCAGACTGCAACCTCCATCTCCTGGGTCATCCTTTTCCAGGTACCATCCATGGGACGGCGGCGGATCAACGTAACCTTGATCAGCTCTAACCGGCCAGTCGAGCCACCTTCACGTCTGGTGCCATTCAAGACTGCCGGATTTGGTATACATGCGAGCAACCAGTAATCTTGTGGAAAGTGCAATGGGCATTTCTTTTTATTGTGACGGCCCCTGGGAGCAGTGATTGATTGCCCATTGCCAGGAAGTATTTACGAATTACTAATTCCACAACTAGTACTATTCCCATCCAATCCTGTCTTCAAATATCACCTAGCTCAAATTATCACATCAAGTTTCATGACTCAGTCCGCTGCAACCTGAATTCATTAGGCTTCCAAAGGTCCATGGTCCGTTTGTCCCAGATTCCCTATCTCGGGGGATGTTGAATGGTTGGAGTTTCAGCCCAACGTTTCACAAAATCGCTTTACATTAGGAAAGAAATGGCATTTCCTTAGTCATTGACATCAAGACATTCATATGTACATTCTATATACAGACAGCAGCAATCATCATGGAATCTCCTCATACACTCTATCCCCAATCTTCGGGGGTTGGAGGAAATCATTAGGAACAGCCTCCGGAAGCTGGTTTCGCTCCGCCCATTCGCGGATCTCCTCAAAGTTGCGGCACTTGTGCTCAGTGTTGAAGTCGACAAAGGGCTCAGGGTGGTCGGGGTGGACCCAAACTTGACCCAGGACTCCCACGTCCACGGTGCACATCAGCTGCTGACGGATGATATCGAGACAATGAGCTATCCACGTTAGTACCGATTTAAGAAGAAATAAGTAGTAGTGAAAACGTACTGACGTGGCGACGGACAACGTAGTCATTGTTGGTGAAGGCGCCTTTGCCAAGGTCATGGTAGTAGTCGTAGTTGTAATAAAGGGATTGGCGTAGGAGATTCTGTAACCCGTTAGTCGCACAACCTACATTGTCCTTTATCCTGTCTAACATACCAAGCAGTGCAGATGGTGAAATCCCTCCACATTGGCAGGATATCCACCTCCGTACTTCTCGTTGATCTTAACCTGGTCGGGAGCGAGGCCTGATTTCTCGGCTTCTTCGGCAGGGACGCGAATGGATCGGTCTGGACTACGATCAGCCAACTCCACTCACTCACTCCATAATGTGAAAGGAAACCAACAGTTGGCACCGAGAGACTCCCATGCTGCATCTACTTCCGGGCTGGCATCTTGTCGGAAGATGTTCTCTTTGAGGAGCGACCCGTTGAACTGTTGCTTGTGATAGTTGAGCCCAACACTGGATATCACGGGTGCTACGGTCGCGTTAGCTCAACTTTCTGATTTCCTCGCTTTTTGACGCTCGATGACAAGTCTTGAAATTAGGACGTACAGTGTTGGGTGATGCGCCGCGTGCACGCCTTGTCCGAATCCCCTTGGTTGTGGCCGACGAAAATGCCGACCAAACACGACACTATGGCAATGACAACGACGAAAATGATGTTCAACCACCTTCCAGGCCCCGATCGCACACTCTTCTTCCCCGACCAGTGAACATCTTCTTCATCGACAAGAAGCCTCTCGCGATCGGTCGAGTCGGACCGCTCCGAGGTGTTCATCTTGTCGTCAAAAGAGTTGGTGTTGCGCGCAGAATTCATGGTATCAAGGAGCGACTCTTTTTCGAAGGAAAAAGAATGAGCAACAACTTCATGAGCCTTCTTCTCCGTCAAAAAGAGCGCAGCACGAGTGTTTATTCTCGGTTGCCCATGGAAGAGGACCAATGAGCCCATCTATGCCCTCCGCCAGGTCCGATGCTAATAATATCCTCCCGAAGCCAAACCCGCCGTTGGGAGGACCAAGTGACGGGTGTAACACTCATCCGAGTGGTTGGTGAGACAACCAGGCTCGTGCAGGTGCGGAGAGGCTCATCCTGGCGGTGATGTTATTTGTTCCAAGTAAGACACCCTCCGCTTGGCCGCAGACGTTGTCTCATTCGGCCGCCCAATGAGGGTTTCCGGAGTGGATGGATCGCTGAAGATCCTCAATACGAGCTCACTGCCCGCCTTACAGCTCGACATCTTACTTTCGTCCAACTGAGACATGACGCAAAGATGCCTTACTCCCGAGATTAAACCCGGATTCACCGTCATTAAACCATCTGCACGCTATTATTAACACCCTATACTGGCCGCCTGGTGGCGGATCACGATGGGTCATCGCCGCGATCTAGGTCAACTTCCAAGCCCCTTCTTATCCCGGAGAGGGAAGTGTATGCACCAGCTCGCAATGAGGGGTGCCTACTTGTGAGGCATATGAGTGTAACACCGGCATCCGCAGCGCCACTTGGTCATCTCGGGGTGTCGCCGTGATTGGACTGAGGCCGGTCCGAGGCTACTCTCGAGATAGAACTTCGAGAGATGGCACAATCCGAGACTTGGCCAATCATGCCGGTACGCCATGGCAGGACGCTTACTCCACGACGAGAGATATTGGCATTTTGCTAAAAATGGATGCCGGGGTGTTAAGCAGGGAGACGAAGAAGTTATAAATATGGCCGCATGTATTCCCCAGTCTCATGCAAATCCCAAGATCTTCCAGAACATCACACTCCCCTCTCTTAAACTTTAATCATACTTCTTCATCTCGTTGTACATGATGCACTCCGTTTCTAAGGGTCTTCTCCTGGTGCTGAGCAGCCACCTGCTCGCTGCTACTGCCCGTCCTGTGGCCACGGAGACTTCCACTGCCACAGCCACTGAAACTCCTGCAAGCTACGGAGATTACGGCAACTATGGCAACTACGGCAACTACCAAGCCTACAAGAGGGACGGCGAGCCTGAGGCGGATGAGACGACCAGCAGCGTGTCGTCGACTGCCTCTGCCACCTCCACCACTGCTGCGGGATATGGCAACTATGGCAACTATGGAGACTACGGCACCTATGGTAGCTACCAAAACTACAAGCGTGGCGAAGAGCCCGATCCCAGCTTGAGCACCACCACCACTATCCCTACCACCACCACTATCCCTACCACCACCACTATCCCTACCACCACTGCCCCTGCTAGCTACGGCGACTACGGCAACTATGGGAACTACGGAAACTATGGCAGTTACGAGGCCTACAAGCGTGGCGAGGAGCCTGACCCCAGCTCCACCACCACCACCGCGGTCCCTACGACCACTGCACCGGCCAGCTATGGCGACTATGGCAACTACGGCAACTATGGCAACTACGGTAGCTACGAGGCGTACAAGCGTGACGAGGAGCCCGAGGTGAGCAGCACTGCTTCTGCGACGAGCTCGACCGAGTCTGCGACCACGACTGCGGCGAACTATGGCAACTATGGAAACTACGGCAACTACGGCAAGTATGCCAGCTACGGCTCGTACAAGAGGGATGCTGAGCCCCAGCCCGAGCAGGACAGTGAGTCCTCGACCACCTCTGCTGCTAGCACGACCACTGCTGCTGCGGGATATGGGAACTATGGCAACTACGGCAACTATGGAAAGTACGCTTCTTACGGCAGTTATTAAAGGGGGTTGAGTGCGTGATGATATGGAGGACAAGTGTTACCTGAGCAAAAGTTCAGGGTGATGCTGCTGGATTGGGAGATCAATCATGATGATGATGTCTAAGAATGTGTTATTCTGTTGTATTTATTAGCAATGGATTAGTTAACTAGATAATATATATGTAGCGTTGCTTGTTCTTGAATAACTTATATAATCATGATCTTGTACTTTATGCCTTCAGACATATGCAGATTGCAGACACATTATAATTGGTTGGGGCAAGTACCGCGGACATGGCAAATCAAACTGGCCCTCATTGGATCTTCAACTTGTTGACGATTCTAAGACCCGCTTCCCCATATTAACAACCTTTTTTCCTTCTGGCGAGCATCGCAGATCCCCCGATTCAGATCCGGTGTGGGGTTTGAGATGTTGCCCTCAACCATCATCCTGACTCGGGAGACAAGTTCTCTTTCTGCTTCTGACACTGTAAATCTCTTTTCAGTGGACCAACCCACACGCAAAAACTCTGCACGGGAGGGAACAGAGGGGCCACCATGAAGCTTGAACTCCAGATCGCTGCAGCTGAATCACCGACCGGTTCCCAACCGGGCAAGTGATGTTCATGGAACCCCCTTGCCTCTCGGTGCGATCGACAAGTAACCTTTGCCGACAGGCTCGCCTTTCCTCCTAGGTTGAATTGTTTATGCGCAATAATCAGGATGTAACATAGCTAATTTATGAGCTAGACTGCTACTCTGTACCAGTCATGAGAGTCCAGGTATCCCGACATCGGTGCCAAGCCTCATCCTTCAACCCTTAGCCGAGGGAAGGGAGAGACAGAAGACAAGACAGAAAAGAGTGAGAGAGAGACAGCCGACCAAATAAAAAATCCAGCATGACTCGATCGTCACAACCCAAACCAGCGTAGACTGCGATAGCGCAGTGGCCAGCTCCAAATCGGACATGGTTGGTTGGTTCATCCAACCCAGCTGGTCTCCACTGTCTCCTCGGATTGGCGCATTTTTTGGCAATCATAGGAGTCATCTTCGTTCCTGGTTCAGCTTGGCCGATCTAGCTTTCCCCGCCCTTCAGCTCTCGTTTAAAAGTCCGCTGCAGCCACGCGCGCTGTCGTCGCCGTCATGTTTGGATTTCTCAGACTCTGCTTTTCTTTCGTCCTTCTCGGTTGTGTGTGTGTTATGCGATCGTTCTTGCGATCGCGCGATAGAAAATGACCGTTGACGGTATGTCCAACCGCGACCGGAGTTATTCTTTGCGCTGACTTGATCGGCGCTCGACTCTTCCAAATTTGACTGACTGGGATTACAGAGAAACAGCCAGTGGCTGACAATGGCGAGTCCTCGCCAGCACCGTCGCAATACGCCTCCGTCAACGAGCGCAAGTTGATGGCCAAGATTGATTGGCATGTGGTGCCGTGTCTTTGCGTCATGTATCTGCTTGCATTTTTGGATCGGTATGCATAACACCCAGAGAAATGGGCGCTCGATTCCAAGAGGCGTGAAACTCAATCAATTGCACAGCGTCAATGTCAGTAACGCGGCCATTTTGGGTCTCAAATCCGACTTGAATATCGAGACCGGAACCAAATATAATACTGCCCTTACCATCTTCTTCGTCCCCTACATCATCTTCGAAATTCCGTCCAACGTGTTGATGAAGAAGTTGAAGCCGCACACATGGTGTACGTATTGCGCTGCCATGTTTAGGGCCACACTGACATGCATCTAGTGTCGCTGTGTATGTTCGGCTTCGGCCTGGTCATGGTCTGCCAGGGATTGGTGCAGAATTGGGGAGGATTGATGACAACGCGCTGGTTCCTGGGCATGTTCGAGACCGGCCTGTTTCCTGGGTGTATGTCGAGTTCTCCACGATTTTATGGTCGCATACTGACTTGATAGGCTTCTACCTGCTGGGAATGTGGTATAAGCGCAGCGAAGCCCAGAAGCGCTTCAGTTTCTTCTTCAGCTCGACGACTCTCGCCGGTGCCTTTGGTGGCTTGCTCGCCTACGGCTTGGGACAGATGGACGGCCTCCGAGGATACAGTGGATGGAGATGGGTGTTCATCATCGAGGGTGTTCTGACCTGTGTGGTGGCCATTGGCTGTTTCTTCGTGGTTCCCGACTTCCCCGAAGACGCCAAATGGCTGACGGAGGAGGAGCGGGCATTCCTGCGCGACAAGCTGGCGAAGGATGTAGGAAAGTCGGCTGCCGATGCTAGCATGACCTGGCGTGATATTGCTGCTGTCTTCAAGGACTGTAGGTATTCGTGGCTGCGATGGCGATAACAGTGCTGACGGTTTTGTGTAGACAAGATCTTCATCGGTGGCTTGATGTACTTTGGACAGGTGGTTACAGCTTATGGCTACGCCTACTTTGCGCCGACCATTATCCAGACCTACGGCTACAGTTGTATGTTCTTGCCCTCAGAAAATCTGATAACAGTGCAGTCGCTAATTTACTTCCAGCGGTCAAAACCCAGCTCTACTCCATCCCACCCTGGGCCGCCTCGTTCGGTTTCTCCATGCTCATCGCATACCTCTCTGATAAATTCCGCCATCGCTTCCTATTCACCATCATCCCGATGCTGGTAGCCATGGCCGGATTCGGTATCCTGCTCAACATCCACGACACCTCACAATACCATGTTCAATACGGCGCGCTGTTCCTGGTGACCAGCGGCTGCTACAGCGCGATGCCAGTATTAGTCTGCTGGTTCGCGATGAACCTCGGTGGCCATCGTCGGCGCAGTATAGGAACGGCGTGGCAGATTGGTTTTGGCAACAGTAAGCACAGCCCTCATGCTCAACCCCGACCGACCAGTAACTAACCCTCTAATCACAGTTGGCGGAATCATCTCCACCTACTCCTTCCTCTCGAAAGACGCTCCCTTCTACCGTCCCGGATACAGCATTGGTGTATCCTTCCTGGCCTTTTCCGCCGCCATGTCGATCCTCTACTTCCTAGCGGTGTGGCACGACAACAAGAAACGCGACCGCGCGATCGCCGAGGGTCGCATCGATCCGTCGACCATCACGGAGGAAGAGGAAGAATTGCTGGGTGATATGTCGCCGACGTACCGTTACGCTTATTGATGTTTTAGCTTATTCACTTGCTTACTTGCTTACTTGCTTACGAGGGAATGAGTGACTGCGACAAATAATTATTACTATTTAATAATGGGTGAGAATAGTCACGAGGATAGGTTAGGTCTCCGATGTCGGAGACGGATAATATACGCGTCGGCGGATCCCGACGACTTTGCAATGGGACTAATCAGGGTAGTGGGCTTGGCATTTCTGGCGGAGTCATCTCCATAATTCTAGATTTGAAGATGGATTTCCAAGCAAGATCAGATAGTCATTCTGATGTAATAGCAAGGATAATATTCTTCAGTAATTGGAGTTGTGTGTGGCTTTGCAGGTTATTGTGCCCTTCGTGTTGGTCGTCGGCTCTGTCCATACTTGTGGAGGTAGCGTTCCTTTATGACAGTAATGTGTCAATATAGCCAGATCTTAGGCTAATACCCCACGCCGAGAAGTCACTGATTCCAGAACAGTATGGGTCATCTATTCTATTATGGCTTCATCTAAACTGGTATGCACTATGTAGAACATACAATTCCAACACCACGAGAACCTCCCACCCCAATTAGCTTCACTCGACCCAGCATCATCTGATGGCATGATTAACCCTCGTCAGATAAATTATAGCTAGTGTTCTTAGACCTAAGACCTTGTCGTCACTTATATTCAAGCTTTCTGTCCACCGGGGCTGAAGACATGCAGGGCTATGAGATATATATATTGAGGTAAGTTGTTGGAGTCAAGTCACGGTGCATTCCAACGGCTTTTCCAAAGGAAGTACTATGGCTTGTGTGATCACGAAATCAGAGCAGTAACCGAATGGACTATAGAGTTATGATAATGGGTCCTGCATTTATATTCCAGTCGAGAAGAAGATATGTCATGATTGTCGGCTGTTGCATATTCTGAGGTGCTGCATGCCTGAACTGAGTTGTAATTATATTGAAATTTGAGACTACAAGTGGCCTATATCCTCTTTATCGACCTCTTGGATAGTACAATTGATAGAAGGGTATACTATATAACTATGAAGTATCATGTCGCAACGATGTCTTATGTAGTAAGAGAAAAGAGGGTTTCAAAGCTTTCCCTCCAGATATGGCTACCACTGTCAGAAAAGGCAGTGATGGTCCCATTCAGTCCCTTCCACATGCGCGGATAATCCGCTGTCACTTGTTCATATGGTTAGCGTCCTACTTCGCTTGCGATATCTGCCGAAATGAAATGACGCGATATTGTAGGAACAGGAATGGTGCAGAGGCCTGTCCGTGGTTCCATTCTGTCATGAGATCGGGACCAGCGATCTTGATAAGATAACAGCTGTATGCAAGTGGGATCAGGCAGGTAGGTTGGATGTCATATTCCTGAAAACACTGCATATGTTATAACCATATCTAACAGGCCGTCAATATCAATATCCTTTCCTTTTAAAGTAGATTCGGGGTATCTGCTTCCCGCATCACCTTCGGGAGAAGTGTAGACCTCGCTTGTGTACCTGTTGATGTAGTCATCGCCAGCCGCGCTCGCGTCATCGCGAAGATCAATGGCACAATAAATCCCCCACCACGTACCCGATCCGGGGGTAAAAGCCGAATCAACAACTCTCTCTTGCCGAAGAACTAATATCTAGTTGCAGTCTAAGCGATATTGACGATGAGTGCAAAATGTCCACCGATGGTGTTATCGATGTGCCGGTTGAGAACTGTTCAACCTTGTTCTCGACACTACCACAGATGGTGTGATAGAAATCGGCGCATAAAAGGGGAGGTCCAGGGATGAAAATGGAGGAGGATTCTGGAAGCAGGACGAGAGAATTGCGAAGCATAGCAGTAGCAGCATGATCGCTCTAACCAAATATAGCCTGTTCCTGGCAGCTCTGTCCCCCCTTACCATAGCGGACGGGCAATATCGCTCGCGTCCAGACCTCTCCCCTCCCAAGCTGAACATCACAATCCCGGCCCCTGATGCTAACGGCACCGAGTATGTCTTTCTCGCCCCTTACTCGGACGATATCCAGCAGAGCGGCGCATACATCTACCGCAAGAATGGCGACTTGATCTGGTCTGGCATCGGGTACTATGCCGGGTTTGTCGGTAACTTTCACGTCACGACATACCAGAATGAGCCTGTCCTGCAGGGGTTCCAGGGGACAATGGATACATCGCATGGCGAAGGGTTCGGGCAGCAGGTCATATTGAACCAGAACTATGAGCATGTCGTGACTGCAAAGGCGGGGAATCATCGTATTCCTTCTATCCACGAGTTCAATGTCATCGATGGAAAGACCGCGCTGGTGGAGGTCTATCTCCCTACCGTGGCTAATCTGTCGGCTTATGGAGGGAACTCGTCGCAGCAGTGGATTGGTGATGGTCTGTTCCAGGGTGAGTATCCATCCTTGGTCAATGCCGTTGTTCGCGCTAATGCAATGCAGAATTCGACATCGAGACTGGTGAGCTGATCTTCGAGTGGAACGCTCTCGACCACGTCGACCCCGCAGGTTCGTCTCGTCTATCAGCTCTCTTTTGAGCTTTACTGACACATCCTAGACAGCCTGGTCACCCTCGGCTCATCAACCAGCGACAGCGGTCTCTCCTCCAGCACGACGTGGGATTTCATCCACCTGAACAGCGTGGACAAAGACAAAGACGGCAACTACCTCCTGTCCTCGCGACACTTCAGCACCATCTTCAAGATCAACGGCACCGACGGGTCCATCATCTGGGAGCTCGGAGGCAAGCACTCCACCTTCAACTACAACTTCACCTTTGGGTACCAGCACCACGCGCGCTGGCACTACCAGTCCCCAACCAAAGAGATAATCTCCTTCTTCGACAACTCCGGCAACGGCGAAGTCATCGTCAACAACGTATCGCGCGCATTGATTGTCGAACTGGACCACAGCAGCGATACCGCGACCATCCTTCGCAAAGCGACAGCCCCGTATGGGATCCAGGCGGCTTCACAAGGAAACGCGCAGCTGCTATCCAATGACAATATCTTCGTGAATTGGGGCCAGGCGGGCGCAGTCACTGAATATGATGCCAACAATAAGATCATCTATCACGCTTTCATCGAGGAGGCGGAGAGTTATCGTGGATTCTTGGCCAACTGGACGGGCACACCGACGGAAGTCCCGGCCATTGCTGCATATGTGGACGCGTCGCAGACTGTTCGGTTGTATGTGTCTTGGAATGGCGATACAGAGACAAAGGCATGGCAATTCTATCAGTCTGAGAAGGGCAATGCGACGTCTCTTGGAGTGGTGTCGCGGAAGTCTTTCGAGACGACCCTGTTGTGGAAGAGTGAGCGGGCATCGAGTGATACGAGGTATTATGCCGAGGCTGTGGGAGAGGGAAATAAGGTGCTGGCTAGGACGAATGCTGTTTCTGCCAGGGAGTATATTCCGGTTGCATGAGTGGATGGCGACGTTATGTATATATGCTTATGAGATGAATGGTATGTATGGCCATTATGGCTGTTGTTAATCCTCTTTTAGTATTGAGCTTTGGCTGAGATTGGGTTTGCTGCCCGTACGAGTGTTTCGAATGATCGGACATCCTTGATCGGATACTTCGATTCATGCGAAGCAGTGACGATCATCTTATCACTCATCTACACCATCTGATAAAGACAGCTTTGTCTGACAGTTAGCGCCCATCATACAAGATGCGATTTCACTCTCAATGGCTCGCCTTGAGCAGGTTGGTTCTCACCAGCAATGATACCGAGCCCGCCGAGACCCCAGGATCAATATGCACTTTAAACTCGTCGCCCCCAAATGGGGCCAGATCACCCGCACCCACGAGGCATGCCTCAATCCACATTCCACAAAGCATTTAACCTTACTCTGACCGACCTTGTTGAATTCCGCATACTCCAGACCGGATATCTTTGCGCGTCGAGGATTGCCATGTTGTCAATCTGCATTCCACACAGGAGCGAGTTCCTCTCCCCGCTTTACCATCTGTATCCACTCTCACCACCAAACAGGTTCTGGATGTCACCATCTTGATTCACTACATATCCAAAACCTCTTCTCGAAATCATGCGCGTTCTTCTACAACGTTGCAAGTTCACGGAACGGATATCGGAAATGAACGGTGCATAACGGACGTTCCGAGAACAAAGCCATTCCGCACAGAAAAGGACCCTACACTGGGGACTTGCTCAGTCGAACGGGTTCGTGTGGGAGTATCCGGTGTTTCAAGTCAAAATTGAAAGTATTTTGTTCCTTCCTTCCTTCCTTCTCATCCTCTGTCAATTCCATCTGATTGAAATCTCAGCCGTTGTTCTCCCGCGTTTCTATATTTATTTCCACACTGGGGATGAAGGGTTTGGTTCAAGTTGAGTGCTGACATGTCTGTGGCAGTGCTCGATCCAAGCAATGCGACCGTGTGTGTGTGCCGTGTCGGCAAAGGACAATGAGTGGATGGCTGGCCGGACGATCCGTGAACTGGCCAGAGTCTGGAACAGGTCGGTCAGGCCGGGTGGCTGGATGTGAAGTCAATCAATTCATCATACAATTCAATCATTGAGACGACATCAATTTTAACAGTAGAGTTTGACCCTGCACATCTCACCACAATGGCAAAGAACACCCTTAGCAGCAGCAACAGCAACAACAAACCCTTCATTCAGATTCAAGACAGCGGAACAAGACTCAAAAAGGCATTTCCATCCACGTACACCCATCTCCGAAGCAGACAAGATCAGCAATGCCAAGGCAGGGTCTGGTATCAAATAAGGCTGAGCAGGGACAGCGATAGGTCACAACGGCAAACAGACCACTCCACTGGAAACGCCGATCGGTTTGAAACAAATGGGCAGGGACCCTTTCCGAGTTTTAAGTTTAGAAATGACTGAAAGTCTTAGCCTAGCTTGAGTGGTAAAGTAGTTAATTCTTTAAATTCTTTGTTGCTTGCACCATCGTCCCTTGTATGTCGTGATACCTACATTATCTTTTTTATCTATACACACACTATCATATCATATCAATATGCGAATACTACTACTATTATCTCTATTACTATCGCTCTTCACCACCATCACCCACTCCCTCCCCCACTACGGCGTCACTCTCCCCCCACCTCCCACCGACCCAGCCAAACCACCCACATCCCCCTACTACCCATGGAAATCCCGACTAGCCAGCAGCGCCGACCACGTCGACAAAACCACCCTGTATAGCATTGCGCGCGCAGCGCACAACCAAGGGCAGACACACTTCGCCGACTACCTCAAACACTATCTGAGGAACACGGGGCGGGATGCGCACGTCTCCGTGGACGAGATGTTGTCAGCGATGCCGCAATTCCGCGCCGAAGTGCACGAGTTGGCGAAATTCAAAGCCAAGCTTGCCTACGAGGCAGTCATGATGACCCGACCGGACGAGGCGCCCGTCGTGCCGTTTACGAGTTTCTGGCACGAGTATGTGGCCACGCCGGATCAGAGCTGGGATTGGTTCTTGTCCGTGGGGAGGTTCGTGTATAGTGTGACCGGGGTGGTGAAGATGGATGAGGAGACTGGGGGAGTGACGGTGCATTATGCGGTGCATGTGTTTACTTATTGTGATTGGGATGGGGGGAGGGATGTGCGCATTGGCCAGTTCCGGTTCGATGAGGGCAGATTGGCTGGACTGCAGGTGACGGGGTTGGCGAGGGAGTTTAAGATTCGCGGGTCGAGTCAGAGCAGGTTGATCGAGGGGTATACTCCTGTGCAGGGATTCTAGGATGTGAATATGTGTGTGTGTGTGTGTGTGTGTACGCTGGTTGTATAGACGGTATATATATGTGTATGATACTATGAATGACAAGAATCCTTTTCTTTGTCAAAAGGGGGCGCATCAATCAATCCAGCTGATCTCGCGACACTCGCCCAGACTCTCCGCCATCGCATCAATGCGTTCGGACATCCATCCGGCCGATAGTCCCGGTCGCGCATGTCCCAGCGCCAGCACCGTGGACGTGCGACACGCTCCCTCCGTCTCGTTATAGGCGTACTGCAGACACTTGGCCTCGCGAGTGCACACGCCCCGACAGGCTGCGAAGCTGCTCACGGCCACCGGGTCTCCGTCGACCAGGTTATCCCACTCGGTGCGAACATCACGCAGCTCCGGTCGGACCAGCTTGAGGAACACATCGCGATACAGCAGCGGTGTCTTGAGCGGCCCCAGTTCCTTCTCCAGATCATCCAACTGACGGATACCCTGCTCGTCCACATGATGAAACGACACGGCCGGATAACACCACGGCCGCTTCGCATACCCAATGGAGAAGTAATCCATCTCCTCCGGCGGAGCGATCTGCAGCATCGGCCACGACCACGTCAGATCCACCCCGACATTCTCGAGCAGAATCCCCAGCATGCAATCCCCAGCCCAATGTTCCGCCACGGCACGTTCCCACCCATCGCTAGTCCGCTTGCGCTGATTAACAGCCTGCACGAGCGCCGGGCGCGACAGCGCAAACCCGGATCCGCCGTGGGCGAAAATAGCATCCACGATCTGCATCTGATTGCCGAGGTACCATGGTTTGGAGGGATCGAAGCGCCGTAGCCACTGGAGGAAATTATCCCAGATGAGATATGTATCGGCCTCGAGGAAGATGTACCAGTTCGCATCTGGTTTCACGCGCAGGGCCTCGTCTAGCATGGGAAGGAACTTCCATTTGTCGAGCTTCCAGCCGGGGTTATTGGGTTTGCCGATCGGGGTGTTGACGTCTGGGTTCAGGTCGGCGGCAGTGAGGGCGGCAGGGCCTTCGGCGCGCACGCGACGGTAGAGGTCGAGTTCGGGGTTATGGTTAAGGAGAGCGGGGGAGAGAGAGGCGAGGACATCGTGGGTGAAGTGGGTGGGGGAGAGTTGTTCGACGTAGTCGGAGAAGAGGACGTGGTTGGGGATGCAGCGGAGGGTGGTGGAGAGGTGGATGGGGACTTTAGTGCGTGATTCGGTGACGCCCGTTTTGAGGACGACTAGGATGTTGTCGAGGCCGGGGCGGGAGGGACAGTCATTGGGAATGATCTGGAGAGGAGGGGAGGATGCGCCGTGGGAGGTGAGGGTGTAGAGGAGGCCGAGGGCGAGTAGGGCGGCGACCAGGATGAGGCGGCGGCGTGGCATGAGGAGGGTTAGCGAGTGCGAGTGGAAGGGAGGGCCATCGCAGATGCGAGGGTTATGTGATTATAAGAAGAGTTAGGAGACGGATGGAGAGGTGAAGTTGGCTGCAAATCTGCAAACGGAGGGATGAATTGAGCATTAAGAATGAATCAATCGAATCGAGTTGGGGATGGAGTCAGGCTTGGCACGGGGTACGGCGGATCACAGCTGCCATTTCCCATTTTTAGGACCCCATCACGTTAGTTTTGGGGCTATATAAACTGGAATGTAGATCTTTATTTCATCCATTTGTGTAGATTCCTATGTTGGAAGAGTTGTTTGCTAACAATAAAGCTAAAGGGTTTGGTTGTGGTAAATTCCACTTCACAGCATGCTTCCTGATTGGTCGGTATTTTCGTCTCAATTGAAATAAATTCCGAGCAACTCGTGCTATAGAACTGATGTCATTAACATACCCATTCACATATTCAGCATCGTCTATATGATAGCTAGTACTATATCCATCATATGAGTATCACAGCTGACTCCTCGTCAGCCCCTTAACAGACTCCACTGCCCCCCTCTTCCCACTGCGCACAGCTCCCTCCATATACCCCTTCCACTCCTCTGCTGTCTCCGTCCCCACAAAATGCACATCCCGGAACGGCTCTCGGAGGGCATCCCCAGCCAGCGTCAATACGCCTGGAGGCAGTGCCGGACAGGGACAGCCCCAGCCAGAGAGTTCCTCAGTCGACCACTCGTGGCCGAGAACCTCGAGAAATTCCCTCTTGGGCAGATCCTTGTCACCATAAATCGCCCCCAACTGCTCCAGCAACGCTAGTTCACGCTCTCTCTGACTCCCCAACGCAGACCAATTCCTCCCAGCATCGCCGGCCAAAAACGCCGTGAGCACCCACTTACCATCCTCAGGCATGCTCGTATCGCGGTAAATCGACGCAGGGCCAGCAAACGACTGCGCCAGTCCACAGAACCCGCGATCCGCCCACCACGCCGTCCGGAACGACAACATCACCTTGGTGTAGTAACCATATCTGAACGAATCGACCAGCAGCTGCTTAGCAGCAGGTAGTTGCGGCTCGAACTTGATTGTCTTGAGGACAGGTGTCGGCACTGAACAAATGACCTTTCGAGCCTTGACCACCAATCCACTCTCCGTTTTAACATAGTTCACCCCTTTCTGCACCTGTGTAATCCCAACCACTCTCTGCCCGAACCGAATTGTATCCGTAGGCAAAGCCTCTGCCAATGTCTTCGCGAAGATCTGCGTCCCTTGTCGCACACGCAGATACTGTGCGCCGTGTTTCCGA